TTATTTATAAAAAATATTTTTAGGTTATCTAGTGAATTAAAATAATTCAGAAATTCCTTAAAAATGCCGTTCATGAAAGGAAGAGCCCCTATTCGCCGCACTTTGAACTACCTCAATGCAGGAAAACTAGTTTTCAAGGATAAAATAAGAATATTTTCTGTCGCGTACAATATTTACGGCCAAAACAATAATGGTGCAAAAGATTTCGTATTTTGGTATTTACCACAGATCCAGTACAAAAATCCCGACGTGCAAGTGGTTACTATGAAGAATCTTACACCTTCGCCGTTTATTAAGTGTTATTTTGAAGATGGGAGACGAATTTTAGTCGACGTCGATAATAAATCCAAAGAAGATATATTGGATCATTTATTGAATACAGTTGGAAAGTCAAAGGAGGTTTTGGAAGCGGAGGCTACAGCTGCTGAGAAGAAGGATAATCCTGCTAACTTCGGAGTTGGTTGTGAAAGAGCTTGTATTTGTGAAACATATGGGCAAATACCCTGCCCTGGTGTTGTGCCTTTACCAAAATGTATGAGAGGCAAATATTTAAACCAACGAGATTAGTATAAAGTGTGTGTATCATTTAATAAAAGAAACTAAGTGTATAAAAATTATATGAAGTGATAAGATAGAATATTTTAGTTAAATAATAAGTAATTTACATAAATGAAAAGTTCATGTTTGTTAATTCAATGTTCACATAAAATATAGTATAAACAATATATTTTCTTTTATTAGTGTCAAAATTACAACTCATAGGGTAAAATTCTTATATAACAAGCAAACATTTCAATTTTCTTTTTATGGACTCCATTAGTTCTAAATAAACAACAAAATGTACCACTTTTTAAGGAGATTCCACAACTGGATAAACATAAAATTTGACACAGTTAAAGTTATTGTGAATTAAAGAGTAAAAATCTTTTTTTTTTACAAAACCCAAAAGATTAGTTGAATTTCAACCAATGGGCAACCACTAGCAGACAAGTTATAATAAACACATTAAATTTTAACTCATTTATTTAAAACACATGGCCTTGTACAGCTTTAGCCATCAACGCTGCGGCAATATATTGCATATTGTTAAATGCTTTAAAAGTCCTTGAATTTATATGCATAAATAACTGATCATCTATCTCCGCACCTCGGGGTAACGTGTGAAAGAATATCCATTTATTTACATTATTACATCTCTTTATATCCTGGAAATTAAACACAACATATAAACATATCTCTAATATATAAATAAAGGTAAAATTGAAACATAAGATTGGTTCATGATATATTTTTAACATAGTGACTTCCAAAGAGAGTTAAGAACATACTGATACATTTTATAAAATATATTGCATGATATTTAAATCTTTGGTGACTTTAAAGATTGTGTCTTCCTTCTTTTTTGTAAATAATGGCAAAAGAGCATTCAATCATTTAAAGCGGCTAAAATACACATTCACAGTAAAATAGTCAACCGGGGATAGGATATACAAAACAACATATTTTCTTCCTTCTTATACATCCCTCTATCCTATCAAATCTATGTCTCCTTGACATGATAATCATATTAGAAAATGGTGATAAGGGTTTCAGGAGTAAAGTTTCTACTCCGGCACAGCCACTCATCAGATCAAACACGGAAATAATTCTACTTCACTACTGTCTTGTCATATGTTTTTCTAACCTCAACACAAAATTTGAACTCCTTTATTTTATCTTTCTTGCTAGTAGCAGGACCGGCGATAAAAACACAAGATTGGTGTAACACATCATCTTTAAGTTTACATTGCTTGATTATTGTGTGACTTTTCTTTGTCATATCTTCACTTGCTTTGTACAGGAGTGGACTCACAGGACATTTCTGCATAAGGGACTTATTACAATAATTAAATATTTAGTCATTTCAATAATACTACTAATGAATAAACATTTTATTATTTCCCCGCTGTAAATTGTTTGTACTAATTAATACTGTTCAGTATATATGAAACGATTATTTTTTTTGTCTACGTTTGTATAAAATACAACTCATAAAAATAAACTAGTACGAAATTTTTAAAACGCCTAATTCAAACTCAATAGCAATATTTTAATAGGCAAGCAAATACAGATGAACTTGTACAGGCACTTTCATGTTACATTTGAATCAATACATACATCGCAGCAACATTTGAACTTCAAGTTGGCCCCTAGCATCGGACATAGCAGAAGATAAGAGTTAAGTACGGGATGGGGCTTCCCAATATACGCGATATCAACACGATTCATTGTGCCGTATTCTTCCTGCAAACACAAATTGTTATAAATTCCGATCGCGAAAGTAGAGAAATTGATACTTTTAGATTATTTATTTCCTTGCTTCATCCTACACGCAGACTTTTTTAAAAGTTGAGTGAAATTGATTTTATTTAAAAGCACCTATCAGAAAATAATAGCAGATTTTATGACTAAAACTTTAAAAATCTTTTTAAAGGCGTTTGAGCTTAAAGTTTTGTAGTTATAAATTATTTATTTGAATGAGAAAAGTACATTCAATCCTAAGACTTCAATCCCAAAAAGACACAAGTATGCGCCATTACCGCTAAAAAACAGACCTTTGTCGTGGATCTTCGTTTCGAGGGCACTCCCCTGGTTGCCTCAGCCAGTATCAGTATTCTCGGCGTTGACATATCGAATGACGTTCAGTTTCGTGGTCATTTGGAAGACAAGGCCAAGCTGGCCTCCAAAAAACTGGGTGTGCTCAGCAGAGCGAAGCAGTATTTCCAACCGGGCCACCGCCTCCAGCTGTATAAGGCGCAAGTTCGGCCCCACATGGAATACTGCTCGCATCTCTGGGCGGGAGCACCCCAGTACCAGCTTCTTCCATTTGACCGCATACAACGGAGAGCGATTCGAATCGTCAACGACCGAGCTCTTACTGATCGGCTCGACACTCTGGCGCTGCGGAGGGATGTTAGTTCCCTCTGCATTTTCTACCGCATATACCACGGGGAGTGCTCTGATGAATTGTTTGGAACGATTCCTGCCGCCGAGTTCCGTCATCGGACGACACGACAGACTGCCAGGTTCCATCCACACCACCTGGATGGCTGGCATTCCACAACGGTGCGATTCTCGCGCAACTTCTTGCCTCGCACAGCCGCGTTATGGAACGGTCTGTCCTCGGCGGTATTTCCAAACCAATACGACTTAGGGTCCTTCAAGAAGCGAGCCTATCACCACCTCAAAGGCCGGCAACGCATCTGCGGTTCCTCTGGTATTGCTGATGTCCATGGGCGTCGTTGAACACTTCGGTGTTCCCGCTGCTCGTTTGTCCCCTTCTGTTATAAAAAAAAAAACATGCAAAACTATACTGCTTACTATGATAGTCATGATGGTAGCCAGTGCTTGCAGGCTGGCGTGGGCTCGCGATCTGACACACATTACGGGCACTGACGATTGCTCAGCAAAACGTCCAACGCATCCATGTGTCGAAGTCGACACAAATATTATGTCACACATCATAGAGAACACTCTGTTGGTCATTTAAAACATTTATAAACTATATTAATTGTTATATTTTAATGCAATTTCGTCGAATCTCTTATTTGTTAGAAAAAGAACTCGTACAAATTAAGTCTCCAAATCAAATATCTTCTGTTCGTGCCATTTTTGAAGACTAACTTCTCCAACCAGCAATAGACTATATTTTAAGAAAATTTTAAATGAACCAATGAAATAGCGTGGGCATTTGTTTTTCGATTTGACTACTATAAACTGAACTACACACTAAAGTATTGAAGTGGTATTACCTGCCCAGATAATCGTATTCCCATACTAAATTGTCCTTTATAGAGACATCAGTTGCGCCCATAAGAGAGGCGGCTTTTGACACAGCTAAATTAAGGGTTGGCTCATTAATCTCTTGCAGTAACATCACTTTGGCATTTTTCAAAACGTTCTGTGCGTATAATAGTTTTTTTTAGTTGTTAAATATTTAATTAAACAATAAATTTAATAGAACTTATTTATATACTAAAATATAATAAGAAGTTAAATTACCAACGAACATTCTATTGTTTTATCTTTTTAATTAAAAAAAAATTGTAAACAATATTTGAAAGCTAACTATAGAAAAGTAGTTGCTACGTTTTTCCATTTATTTTAATTTAAAAAACTGATTATTGTTTCCTATTTGTTTAAGAAAATATAAGTAAACGATAGTAACGAAACTGCATCAGCAGTATTCCTTTTTGACTGATATTTCTATTAATATAAGAAATTTTAAGAAGTTAATATACCAATTGTTTGACATGTGTATCCCAAACAGAAAACTTCAGATTGATTGCGCTAGATATAATATCCTCCACCATTTCCGGTGTCCATTGCTTAAAGCATATTAAATGCATCGGATTACTACATCTAAAACAAACAAAACAAACGCGGAGTTATAAAAAAAAACCAAATGTTATATAAACGACAAATGTTAAGACACGTTATCTATACGAAACATAAAATAACAGTTTAAAAACATTAACCGTGTGTTTCTGACATCAAAGTATTGTTATCTTTATTTACAATGATAATAACAAGGATGACTATATATTTTATACAGAGATTTTGGTGTCAGAAACCCACGATAAATCTATAAAAGGTAACAGCACGGACATTGATACTAAATACGCGCGAAGACGTTACCCTCCTTCTCTATTAGTTAGTAAATAATCGTGAGTTTCCACTATGATATCACCAGTATATTACACATTTTTTTAAATGAGTGTTTGGTTTATGTTATGTTTTTCTATAAGTTTTCGGCAGTGGTAACGGTATCGCCATCAAATCATATAGTATACTTACGGAGCACAAACAGTGTGATTTCTTGTAAATGACAAATTCGATGATAGACATTTTAGACGATTCATTTTTATCTAATAAGCTTATAAAAATTGATATTTTTATTGAGATTTCTCATTGGTAATAATTTTGTACACTGACATAATGTTACATACATTTCATTTGACTTTTGCCCACTTTTGTCATTTAGGATGACGGGAATGTCAGAAAGTTATCAGTCCTATATTCTTCTTAAAAATTATTTCAATAGATTAAGAAGTATATGCAATAAGCCAGACCATTCTGATACACGAATTCATTGAAATGTGGGCGCCTGAGAAAATTATCCGAGTGAATTTCCATTATTGTAAATTGCTAATTTTTATAAATTACACTTCTGCCATCTTTGGTGGATCCATGTTTGTTTACATTATACGCTCTTTTATTATTTTTTACTTAGCCATTATATTCTATGAAATCAAATATATATAAATTACAAACTCTTTATTGAAAAAATATTACCAATTAAAATCATTCTTTAACGAATATTCCACTGTTTAAAGCTTCTTGTATTTCACTGAACGTTTTATTCTTTGTCTCTGGTATACAGAGTAAAACAAACACGGAGAAGAATAGACAATTAGCACTATAAAACCAGAAAGTTGTTGCCGAACCAATAAGTGACATCAGGCTTTCGAAATATCTGGCCAATAATAAAGAACATTGCTAATGTTGAAAAAGACATACAGTTGCAAATTCCTATCATTCTTACAGTTGTTTCTAGAAGCTCAGAGAATAATAGTAAATAGACTGATCCTATACCTGAAATTAAATTTCTTCTTCTTCTTCTTCTTCTTCTTCTTCTTCTTCTTCTTCTTCTTCTTCTTCTTCTTCTTCTTCTTCTTCTTCTTCTTCTTCTTCTTCTTCTTCTTCTTCTTCTTCTTCTTCTTCTTCTTCT